GATAATGATGATGATGATGATGATGATGATGATGATGATGATGATGATGATGATGATGATTATGGTGGTGGTGGTGGTCCGTCAATGTCTCACGATGATCAGTGCATCAGCAAAGGAGAGGATTAATTCTTAAGTGAAATAGGAGATTTAAAGGTTAAGGGAAAAATTTTCTAAACGAATGACTTTTATCCACTTTCATGTAATTTGTGCAAGAAGTTGTTCATAGGTAAATAGGATGTACTAGGGGTGAGTTTGTTGATTTTTTTTCTCTGAAAAATGGGTCTCTGTGGTGTCCATCTTGGATTTTCAAACCTGTTTCTTAGTGCGGAAGAATTTCATAGTAAATATTGAATTATCTGCCTGAAATTTGGCACACAAGTACAAACGTATATGGACTGGGGATCCATGAGAGTATTTTGACCTATCTTTAAAAATAAAAAAGTGATCCCAAAGTCAATGGACCACCGAGAGTCAGTTGACGAAATTTTGGGGTACATATTACAAAAAAATTGAAAGATCTCCAGAATGGATCTTAAAGCACATGTACGCCAAATTTGAAGCTTCTAGCTTCTGTAGTTTTTGAAAACTCCTTGCACCAAGGAGACCACAAATGTCAAAAAGTAAATTTTGAGAAAAACAGAAAAAACGGATTTTTAAAAAGAATTTTAAGTGCAATTTGCACTTTTCAAACACCTCTTTAGGTCATCGAGGGTGTTTTTCCAACAGTTTCGGCATCGTAACCCGATAGAACAGATGTCAAAGGATTTTTTTCCCCAAAAAATAAAAGTTGGATAGTTTGAACAATTTTATCGATATTGTCTTGGGGTCTTCCCTTAAGACGACTTATGTATTTTTACTATGGCCGATGAGACAGTTCAGGCAAAGAGAAGGTTGCCAATTTTTGAGCATTCAAAAGCTCCACTTCCAATTGTGGATTAGTGCAGCTTGGGGGTTTCTCTCTTAGTTCCAGCAATGTATATTGGTGAAGCTGCATATGATTTGTCCCACTGTGACTACTGTTCTCCATCTGGGCCTGTCAGGAGCTAGGCTCTCCCAAGTCGAAGGATAGTGTTGAA